GGCAGATTCTTTACCTTCTGAGACATCAGGGAAGCCCTAAGATATAGCCTCCTGCCACCTCCAAATCCATCTTTCACACTAGAGTCTTAAGCGGTATTTCTAAAATATAAATCTGATTAAGTAGGTCCTCCCCTGGCCTCCCACTGTTGGAATAAAGTCCCACCCACCTTCCTCTCCTTAGTCTCCTCACACCCACCCCGAAGCTTGCTTCCCACCAGCTTTCCTAAACATCCTGCAGGTCCCAGAGGTGCTGGTGGAATGTGCTTTGGTGCCCACAGGCCCTCCTCCTCTGTCTGGTGATGTCCTGCTATCTCACGTGCCATAGCTCATCCACCTCCTCCGGGAAGCTATCCCCCATCCCTGCCTCGAGCCTGTGCACTGGGCCCTCCTCTTTGCCATGCACAGGCTCACAATGGTGCATGGGTCCCACCTGCTCCTTGCTAGTTGATGTGTGTATCTCCTTGCTAGACTGAGGACTCTTGGAGGGAGGGGACCAGGGCTCATTCAACTTTGTCCTCTGGTGCCTCAAGACTGGGCACACATTACGTGTTTAATAAATGTTTTCTTGAAGACCTGGTGATAAAGGAATGACATTGTATAAGCAGGTGAAGCTCCACCTGGAAAGCACTGCATGTAGGGTTCGTGTTTAAGGGGTCTGGCTTCCAGGACCTCCATGTGCCGTCTGGTTCTGTTACTTCTAATAATGGAACACAGATCTCAGGGCTGCCTCCCACTGCCCCTGCCTGCCACCACCATCCATCCAGAAGGGCAGGCAGACACAGGGCGGGCAGAGTCAAGCCTCAAAATATTCAACCTTCTAACTGGTTCTCAAACTGTAGTGTGTATCAAAGTTACCTACAAGGCCTGTTAACACAGATTGCCAGGCTCTACCCCAGACTTTCTGATTTGGAAGACCTGGGCAGAACCCAAGAATCTGCATCTCTTAACAGCTTCCCAGGTGCTGCTGAAGGTGCTGGTCTGGGGATTACTCTTTGAGAATCTCTCTTCTAGCAAAAGGATCTGCTTTAAAAACAGTTACTCTCTGTGATGTTGGGGAAGGAGATAAGGGAAGCTTTTTACTGGGATTTGGTTTTGTAGGTTTTAAGAACTATTAGTGTGAGATTAATGTGGATAGATGGAGCTGGTTCTACACACCTACCTCCTCCCCCATCTCCTGGTTTTCTACAAAGCCTTGCTGGGTTCACTCATCAGCTATTCAGTGGGTATGTTTGGAAGGTGTAAAATGTGTTTGGCAGCATGAGAGGTAGAGTTGTTGACATCGAGAGGAAATTGATATGAAATGGTCCTAGGAGAGGCCCTCCAGTGCAGTTCTAGCCATAATTTAAGGAAATCAAAGAAGAAATGTCTACTTGGGTGGGTAGTGAGTTCCCCACCAGTGGAGTTGTTCCAGAAAGGCATCTAGAGTGTTTGTGGGAATAAAACAATTGGATAACTAGTTAGACCACATGACTCTTAAGATCCTGGGATTCTGTGATTAAGGAAGACAGTGTGGTGGCTCAGTGGTAAAGAATTCACCTGCCTGGGCACTCAAAACTGGTGCTCTGGGAAAACCCAGAGGGATGGGGTGGGGAGGGAGGTGAGGGGGTCAGGATGGGGGGACACATGTACACCCGTGGCTGATTCATGTCGATGTAAGGCAAAAACCACCATAATGTTGTAAAGTAATTAGCTTCCAGTTAAAATAAATAAATAAACTAAAAAAGAAAAATAATAATCCTTCTGCCAATGCAGGAGGCCTAGGTTTGATCCCTGAGTTGGGAAGATCCCCTGGAGAAGGAAACAGCAACCCACTCCATTATTCTTACCTGGGAAATCCCATGGACAGAGGGGCCTGGTGGGCTACAGTCCATGGGTCACAAAAGAGTCAGACACGACCTAGTGACTAAAACAACAACAACAAGGTGTAATCACAATGAAACGACACAAATAAAATGCGGTGGAGCATGTGGTGGGAGAGCTGCAGAGGCGGCGGAGGCGTCCCCATATCAGCACTGATGTTATTGTCCTTATTTTAATAAACACACTTACGCCTCACCAGTAATATGCTTGGTAATAAAATGAATTTATGTCCAATGACCCCTTAATTTGCTGTTTATTGCCCTTAGATCATTTAAAAGGTTAAATAGAAAAAGCCACAAGCAGGCCCACAGTGTGCCTCAGAGGTCTCCTTAGGGCCCATTTCCTGAGTCAAATGGAATTGAGATGTGTAGTGCCATGTTATTATTATTTTTTTTTTTTGCAATATTTATGTGTGCCTGTGAAGGGGAGAGAGAGAGAGGGAAGCCAATTGCAGAACTTGAATTTATAGTTACTAGGTCAACAACTTGATCACCAACTTGAATTTCAGACTCTCACCTTGTTAAGATAGTCCAGACAATTGCCAGATTCCATAGTAGAGGTAAAGGTCAAAGCCCCTCTTTCAGGAGGGTCCAGCGCCTCCTGTGGTCTCCTGTGGTAGACCACACTGAAGCCCCTCACCCCTCACTGCTGTTTCTTGAGCATCTATTAGGTGATGGGTACTGAGTAAGATACTTTACAAATGTTATATATAATCTTTCAAGGTAAGTAGTACTATTGTCGTTTTCAGATTTTAAAAAAGTCACATAGGGATTATGTGTCTTGGTCAATTTCACAGAGAACTCAATTCATTTTTGGAAGTCAACATAACTATGTGATTGAAAAGCAAGATAAAAGATAGGTGAAAAATTATAGACCTATCTCAAGTCTGAGTGTAGATGTAAAATTAGAAAATAGAATGCAGCAGTATATCAAAAAGATAATACACTCCAATCAAAGAGGGTACATTCTAGGGATGCAAGAATGGCTCAATAGTAGGAAGTATTAGGAAATCAACATAACTCACCATATCAACAAACTAAAGTAGCATCATATATTAGTAGATGCTGAAAGGCCAGCTGGTAAAATTCTCCTGTAATAAAACTAACTCAGGAATAAGACAAACTACTTAAACTTGATAGAGAATAAAACCTAGTAACTTACAGTGAATTCTAAACAGTGAATCACTAAATGCAATTTCACTACAATAGGAAAAACTTACTTTTGCTGTCTTAGAATATGGTCTTGGTGATTCTTACAAATGAATTAAGCTAAGAAGATAAAATAGTTTGTCTGTGAGAAAGAAGAGATGACATTATCTATTTTTGCTGAAGGTTATAATACTTGAAAAACCCAAGAGAATCTAGTAAGAAAGGAAAAAAAAAAGTTGCTTGGTTGTGTCCCACTCTGAGATCCCGTGGATTGTACTCTGTGAAGTTCCTCTGTCCATGGAATTCTCCAGGCAAGAACACTGGAGTGAGTAGCCATTCCCTTCTCCAGGGGATCTTCCTGACTCAGGGACCGAACCCAGGTCTTCTGCATTGCAGGTGGATTCTTTACTGTCTAAGCCACCAGGAAAGAAAGGAAACCCCACCAGAAATAATAAGGGAGGCCGGTAAAAGTGTTGGGTCACAGCTCTTCTCTATACTGTGGAGGTCATGCAGCTGGTCAACTTTGGCCCCTGGAAGTGGGATTTGAGCCCATGTCTGATGATGAAGCCTGTGCTCTTTCCACCTTGTGAAGTGTTTATTCTCACAGCTATAACCCAGGCATGTGAAGGGAGAGTCTCTTAAAGCTGCCAATTTCAGCTGGTCCAGCAGATTGGGTGGGGTTTGCTCTGCTGGGGAGAGGTGGGGGCAAGATGAGAGGGTTGGCACAGGATTTTTACTGGAAGACCCTCAAGACTTCTGCTACCAGAAGTGCTGTCCCTCCAGGGGCTGGGATATTGGGCTTTGTGGTGGGGAGGGGGTGACAGTGGTCTAGTCTTAGCCATTTAGGTGCTGAGCAGACAACCAAGGGAGCTGCCCCTTTCTCTTGTTGGCCCCGAGAAACCATGCTTGTGTTGCTTGTTGCCTTTGTCTCCTACTGTCCACTTGAGTGGTGGGGCCTGCCGGGACACATTTTTAGAGATTTGGTGTATCAGAGACTCCTAGGGCCATCAAGGACACAAGCTCTTGGCTAGCACCTCTACCAAGGGTGCCTCAGATTTATGGTTTTCATGGTGGAAGTGGAATGTGTTTTTCTGGCACAAAAATCACTGAGTGATACATCAAAAATATGATCCACGTAAAGCTTTTTTACTTCATACAGAGTCAAGCACAGGGTGGCAGAAGGAGTCCTGTACAGGAGTCCAGGAGACCTGGGTCCCCGTGGCTGGCTCAGCCATAACTAGCTGTGTGTTCCCAGGCACATCACTTAACCTTGCTGGGCCTCACTTGCCTCATCTATATACAGGATATTGGATGAAATTAAATAGACTCCAGTCTGTGCATGCTGAGTCACTTCAGTCATGTCTTACTTTGTGACCCTATGGACTGTAGCATGCTAGGCTCCTCTGTCTATGGGATTTTCCAGGCAAGAATACTGGAGTGGGTTGCCATGCCCTCCTCCAGGGGATCTTCCTGATCCAGGGATTGGACTTGCGCCTCCTACATCTCTTGCATCGGCAGGCGGGTTCTTTACCACTAGTGCCACTCAGGAAGCCAAAAGAGACTCCTAATGCCTTTTAACTTCAAATTTATAATAATGATCACCCTTCTCATGTGCCCAGCTCTGTTCTAAAGCGCTTTGCACAGAGCTTTGCTCATCATAACGACCCAAAGTGAAGTACTATTATGATTCTCGTTTTCCCTCTGAAGAAACCTGAGACACAGAGAGGGCAAGTGACTTTCTGAGGGTCTCACAGCTAGGAAATGATGGTGCTCTTCCTCAGTTCAGCTTCTGTGGTTTTTCTTTACCTGGGTCCATGCTGTTAAAGCGCTGTTGGTTCTGTCCAGTGGGGTGAGGAGTGTTGGGGGTGGGAGACATTTTCTCAAGGAAACCTAGCTCTGGAGTGGATGGATGAGCCGCTGCCTGGGAGATTGATGGCAGCGGCTGCAGACATTGCTGACATTTTTGTTTTCCTTTCTTCGTTTCCTCTCTAGTCTGCGGCAAGCGCTACAAGAACCGGCCGGGACTTAGCTACCACTACGCTCACACTCACCTGGCCAGCGAGGAGGGGGATGAGGCCCAAGACCAGGAGACCCGGTCCCCACCCAACCACAGAAACGAGAACCACAGACGTGAGTTCCTGGGTGTTGGGTTGGGTGGGTGGTAAGGTGGATGGGCAGGGCTACAAGCTTTCCTTTCTGTTCACCTGTGGGATGGTCTGCTGGCACCTGTGGCTTGACCTCAATGACCTGTGATGAGTTGGCTATTTCAGCCCCCCAGATACCCCTGTAGGTCAGCGGAGCCCCAGGCTTAGAATGGGCTGAGTAGGGGTGGCACACCCAGCTCTGCTCCCAGAGGACAGAAGGTAAGTATTAAAGCCAAGGGAAACCTCCTTACCTGGCCATCATCAAATGCCAGACCTGGCAGTCTTTTTCCCCAGCTCTAGAAGATCCATTCACAGCTGCTAATCTGAGTTGGGCAAAGCCCTGGGGTGTGTCAGTTCAAACAGACCTTCCAAATGCCTCCTTGGCCACCAAGAGACACAGGATATTCTTGATCCATCATCTTGGCTCTTACAGGGTCACAATTTGGGTAAAAAAATACTGCCCTAGAGTTTCCATGCTCTTCCCTTGAGCTCTCAATCAGCAAACATGACCTAGGTGTGCTTGTCACTGGGGATGTTGGGCTCTGGAGAGCCAAAATCATCCCGAAGTTTGTGTTTCCATTTCTATTCTTTCTTTCCTTCTTTGGCTCCCAGTTATGAATTAGAGAGTTGCAAAGGGCTTAGCATTCACCATATGACTTCTCTCTACGACATTCTTTATGGTTTCTGGACCCACCCCAAACTCAGGATGGGATGGGATGATGGGATCTTTAGGGCTTGCTTCAAAATGTGGGTCATTCTAGGATCATGGGGTGAGTAATAATTGTGGACATGCCATGTGTTTTTTATTTTGTTCAGAAGATTTTGTGGTAGGGGTTCCTACAGCGAATAAGTCAACGTAATACAAGGGACCAGACTGTTAAAAATATTCAGATTCTAGAGTTTGAGGGTGACTCCTGTGCATGTCAGTCAGTCATCTCAGTCAACTGATGTCAATTGACTGCCTTCATCCAGTATTTGCGGAGAAGGCAATGGCACCCCACTCCAGTCCTCTTGCCTGGAAAATCCCATGGATGGAGGAGCCTGGTAGGCTGCAGTCCATGGGGTCCCTAAGAGTCGGACATGACTGAGCAACTTCCCTTTCACTTTTTACTTTCACGCATTGGAGAAGAAAATGGCAACCCACTCCAGTGTTCCTGCCTGGAGAATCCCAGGGATGGGGGAGCCTGGTGGGCTGCCGTCTATGGGGTTGCACAGAGTCAGACACGACTGAAGCGACTTAGCAGCAGCAGCAGCATCCAGTATTTGAAACAATGAACACACGTTGGCCAAAACCTTTCTTTGGATTAGTCTGGGTTCTCCCCTAACCCCCAACCCACTTTCCCCTTGTAGCATTGCCTTCTGTCTTAGTTTCCTCAAATTCCCCAAACAAAGTATCAAAGACTGGCTGGCTTACCAGAGATCTGTTTTCTCGCAGTTCTGGAGCTGGAAGCTCCACATCGAGGTGTCATGGGGTGGTCTCCTTGGAGGCCCCTCTCCTTGGTTCGCAGGCTGCCGCCCTCCTGCTGCCTCTCATGTGGTCATCCCTCTGGGCACATGTACTTCTCAAGTCTCTGTGTGTGTCCAAATTTCCTCTTTTTATAAAGACACCAGTCAGATTGGATTAGGGCCCATCCTAACAGTCTCATTCTAACTTTTGCTTTTTCATCATCTCTTTAAAGGCCCTAGATCCAAATATAGTCCTATCCTGGGGTACTGGGGGTTAGGGTTCAACATGTGAGTTTGCGGGGAGGGGGGGACATGATTCAGACCATAGCACCTTCTTTAATTCTCACTCTTTTTCAGAAGCCCTTCGTGAACCTCTCTTCTGGCGCAAGCCAGACCCTTTATTTTCTCATTGACTGTTGCTCTCTGGACAGAACCTGAAAGCGGGCAGGAGGTGCCCTCCTCCGCATGTCAGCCACAACGCTGAGGTCTCTGCCTGCTGCCTGGGGAGAGGTTCCCTTGGTCCCATCACCCTTATCTTCCAGGAAGGAACATATATTGACCTGTACCAATCAGTTGGGTTTTGCATCCTATCATCTCTCCTCTCTTCCTGTCTCTGATCTAAGTAGCCAAGGCATAGCTATTGTCTCCTGCCTCGAGGAGGCCGTGAGTGCTCTCCTTTGATTTGGGTTGCTGTCTGGAAGGTGTTGATTGGCAAAGTTTGCTCTCTCTAAACTATTTGGTATTATTTCCCACTGCCCCCAGTGCTGGCTCAGTGGTAAAGAATCCACCTGCCAAGGCCGGAGACACGAGTTTAATCCCTGGGTCGGGAAGACCCCCTGGAGAAGGAAATGGCAACCCACTCCAGTATTCTTGCCTGGAGAATTCCAAGGACAGAGGCACCTGGTGGGCTACAGTCCATGGGGTCACAAAGAGTCGGGCACAACTGAGTGACTGACACTTTGTCTCCTTTATGGTAGTGGTGTCTTAGTTGCTAAGTCGTGTCCGACTCTGTGAGCCCATGGCCTGTGACTCTCCAGGCTCCTCTGTTCATGGGATTTCCCAGGCAAGAATACTGGAGTGGGTTGTCATTTCCTTCTCTAGGGGATCTCCCTGATCCAGGGATCGAACCCAGGTCTCCTGCATTGCAGGCAGATTTTTTACCGACTGAGCCACCTGGGTATCTCCTTTAAATCTCTTCTCAAAGGTCAGGCCATTTTGTTCCTCACGCCGCAGGGTTTGGCGTGCCTGTCTTTGGTCTGGATCTTTGTGTGTGTGTGTGCATGGTGACGGCAGCCACAGAGGGGGGTTCCTTGTGACCTCCAGGTATACTGTGGGCCCAAGTGGACCCCGGGGTTCTCCTCCTTAGCCATTCCTGCGGGTCCCTCCCAGCTGTCCGTTCTCTTCCAAGGTGGGCACTGGCCCCTGTGATTCTCTATTCACTGGGCTCTCCTCACGCAGTCTTGTAGGTCATTGTCCTTATGTCCTCACTGTGAGGCTGGGCAGCCTTGCTTAGGGAGGAAGCTGCATCTTTTCTCCTGGAGGGAGATGCATCCCTGAATATCTGGCCATGTGTTCCCCTCTCTCAGGGGGTTTGCCAGCAAGCGCTCTCGCTCCAGCCCTTCTCCATCCCCTTCCTCTCATTCTGCTTTTGAGAAATCAGGTTCTTCATAAAGGATCATACAACCACTGGAGGAGTTTAAACTGCATAGAAAAACAACAGCTGTTGCTGGGCTCATCCAGGGCCTTCTCACACGAGGAAGATTCTAGAACCCTCACAAGCACCATTTTGACGACATCTCCTCCCAAAGCCTCTGAGAAGTCTGTGATTAACTCTAATTTTGCTAGCAGGGATGGGGGAGTGGGCTGTGGCAGAGATACCCTCCGTGTCCACAGAGCCCTCCCTCCCCTCTTCCCCAATTTCTCTGGACGAATCCAAGAGACAGCGCTCTCTTCCCGGGCTCCCTGCACACAAACACACCGACTGTTTGCTGCTCCAAATGTGTGCTCCGTTGCCTCCCACATGTCCCTGGCAAGCAGCCCCCTCACCATTTTCTCATGCGCTCTAATTGCCAGCATCATTAATACCCAGTCATTAGCTGCTCCCACTGTTTGGGGGTAGGGGTGGGCGCCCATCCATCCTGCCCCTAAATGCTACAGGGGCTTTGCGGGGGATCGAAGGTGACAGCTCGGCAGCATCCCAAGGTCTCAGCCTGCGATCCTCCCTTGTCAAGGCTTTTGGAGTTGGGGGAGGGAGGCAGGAGCGCTCCATCCGGGAGGCTCATCTCCAGTCCGCCCCCTGCCCCAGGAAAGGTTCTGGATACCAGCGAGGTGGAAATGCTGACTTTTCCCATTTTGAGCAGAGCTGCAGGGGGACCCCAGCTGCTTGTGAGCATAGGCCTGTGGGAAAAGCCGCCCTTACAGACACTGGAGATGTCACGAGCCTCCGCCTTTGCACCACCTGCAGCCGCAGAGACCTTTTGACTTTGGTCCTCCTGCTGTCCCTTGCGCATCCCCCCAGCTGCGTCTCCAGCAAAGCCCATTGCTCGTCCCTGCTCCTGCGTTGCTGGAAGGGCAGAGTGGAGTGCTGGAACTGGCTCTGCCTGCCCCCTACCCACNCCCCCCCGCCCCAGGCTGGCCTGTGTGGCCTCTCCTCCGTCCTCCCGCCCCTCCCAGCTTGGCCGCCTTTGTTCCTCTCCTAGGCTCGAATTTTCTCCTGAATATATACTGTGTGCCTCCGCGGTACATCTGTCCCCTTTGTTGTGTGCCCTTCTCTCTCTGCCTCAACTCCAGGCAGTGCAGGGCTGTGGGAGCTCAGACACCCCTCCTTTGGAGACAGGACTTTTCTGATGGGGTCCTCCCTGCCTGAGCTGCCACCCTTCTCCTCCCTGTAGGAGGCTGGATTCTTCCTACTTCTTCTATTGCTATTTCTCTGACCACCTTCATCTACTTTCTTCTTCTTTTTAAAAAGTATTTTATTTATCTGGCTGTGCTGGGTCTTAGTTTTGGCACATGGGATCTTTAGTGGCATGATCTTTAGTTGATGTGGGATTTAGTTCCCTGACCAGGAATCGAACTTATGCCTCCTGCCTTGGGAACAAGGCCTCTTAGCCACTAGACCACCACTAGACCCCTTCATCTACTTTCTACAAATGCCAATCACCATGTATGCACATGTGTGCCTATATGCATACAGACAGATACACACACACACACACACACACACATGGACTGTATTTATGTGAATAGATGGAGGGAGGGTTTGGGCAGGTTAGGACTCTGAGAGCTGCCACTCAGAGGCATCCTGTTGTGACTCCGTCAATGTCACCTTGGTAAAGAGGGTAGCAGCAAGAGCACCGGGTTACAATTCAAAACTCCTTTGACACAGGTTCACAATGTCAAAGTTCTTCTTGAATTTCTTTTTATCTTCTTTGCATAGTGGTAATCTATTACAGACGATGTTTTCAAGGTACCTTTCTTTAGGGGTGGTGTGGGTATGGGCATTTCTGAGGTCGTGGACCTGTATGAAAAAGCTGTGTGAAT